GCTGCCTCTCCCAACATCGGAGCCTTGGAAACACAGGCAAAGCCGCCACAGAGGTAGCGCCCTGAGTTGCTTGCCACTACTGCCTCCTCCTCCTCCTCCTCCTCCTCCAGCACCTCCTTCTCTGGGTAGGGCAATTCTTAACTAACCGAGCATGCTAAGGCAACTCAGGACGCTACTGCTGCGGCAGCTTTGCCTGCATCTCTGAGGCTTCGATGTTGGGAGAGGCAGCGAGGGCTGGAAGAGCGGAGAGCTCCACACGTCTCCATGTGGGTGCGGGAGGGGGAAGGAAAGAGAGGCGGGAGCAATTCAAAGCTAGAGAACTAATGGGGAGAGCTAACAGTGGGCGCTGGGGGTGGGGACTGTTGTTGCCGTCACCACCACTGTGTGTGGGAGCTGGTTGATGTGTGCATCTCAGGGACCTGACTCCGGCGTCCCTCAAAGAGCTGGGAGGCGAGAGAACTGCGCAGCCCAGATTAATTGCTTTTGGGGGCCATTTCTTCTGCGGCCCACCAAAAATTTTCCATGGCCCACCAGTTGGCGAATGCTGTTTTAGAATACCTATAATCATGAGTTGATAGAGTGATAGCCATATAAATCTTTTAAATACTGGTAGTCCTTATTTAGCAACTACCATTGGGACCAGCAACTTAGTGGTTAAACAAACCAATAACTAAGTGAAATTGCAACTATGCTTATGAGCTTATTTCAGCCAGGTTACTAAACAAGGATTACATGTAAATATATAAACATTATACATGGGAAAATACTGCCTTGCAAACATCCAAAATTCTAATCAAGCAGCCATAATTTTTCTCAGGCACATTATATGTTTAGCAGGGGTGGCATTCTACCAGTTGTGACCGATTCTATAGACCCCCTTGTTAACTTTCTAAGCAGTTCGGAGAACCAGTAGTTAGAAGAAATCTCCTTTTGTTTTTCTCCACCCTTATTACATTCTTGACATTATGCCTAGACTTACTGTTTCCAAAGAAGGTTTTTTTTCTTGATACTTGCTTAAAGGGGAAGGGTTGTTTTAAGCTTTTTACACTGCTGTTGGGAGGAAATACTCCCCTGGAAATACTTCTTCTTGGCTAGCTAGAAAGATTGACATTCAAACGTGAGTTTACATACCCCTTCTGAGTTTTGGTCTAAAACTGTTTTTTCATGAAGTTTAATTCTGTGCTTGGTGACATTTAATCCTGTGTTTATTGATGGAATAATTTTCCCTATTCAGCTTTGTTTGGAAGGAAAAAAGATTAATCTCTGTTCCTGAAAAGAAACTGGTTTGAGAAATCTGGCTAGTTCCTGTGTCTATTTGTTCTGGTAATTGGTTTAAAAAGCAACAGCTACTGTTGTGATTTAATTATTTGTATTGTGTTTGAATTTTTTCTTGCCTCATGGTTTCTTTTTCTATCTCGGGAGGGGGTCTTTCTTCACTGCTTTAGTGGTATCTGGCACTGTCCTTTTGGGATGTAATTCCAAGAGGCAGGATGCAAGCTTGGCACTGATTTTTTTTACTGCCTTTCTAGGGGGCATGTGACCTTTCCTTAAATCTGGATGATTTCCTTAGGATATCTTGCAAGATGAGTGAGACCAACTGGTATCTTTAAGTGGTGCAAATGGATCTAATGGTTGCTTTTCCTGGGTGTGCTCTTTCTGGAAAGCTTAAATGATCTCTCTGCTAATGGGTTTCACTTTATGAGCAAGAGTTGGCTGCTGATAGTTATCATTGCATTTTAACTATTTTAATTCCTCAAGGTGCTCTGGCACCCTGCCTGATTTGTAACTCTGGCTTGCAGGTTTTTATAATCTAATGATTGGTATTTAGGGCAGCTTTTTGCAAGCAAAGAAGCTTTTTGTATCTTTGTACAGGTAATCCTTGACTTACAACAGTTAATTTAGTGACCATTCAAAGTTACAATGGCACTGAAAAAAATGACTTATGACCGTTTTTCACACTTACAATCATTGCAGCATCCCCACTGTCATGAGAGGCCAAGCGAGGATGTGAGTGATGTCGAGTTGGCCATGCCTATGCAGTCACATGACCACCAAGCCACACCCACCAACTAAGCCACACCCACAGAACCGGTTGTTAAAAAATTTGAATCCAACTCCTGATATTTAGGATTATAATTTCTGAATAGAAAATATACATTTACTATGATGTCTGAAGTCTAATATAATGCGCATGTTTTCCTACAATATGTTCAATGCCCATTCTAATTACTCAGGAGTCATTTGTTCACATTATTTAAGCAAAGACAAATCAATAATTGAATAAGAAGATGATCAGGATAAATATGACATAACCTACTGATTCTGTTGAAATAGTTGGGAAAAATAAAAAAGATAAACTAATCCAAATATTTATTTTACTTTTAAAGGTTTATGAAAGCTGCACAGCATCCATATTTGCAAAAATATGATTTCAAAATTTCATGCATTGTTATTTTTTAATTAAGGCAAATACATGCTGTTTCAAATCCATTGTTTTTCTTATACCTTAGCATCAAAACAGTAGGATCTGTATAAAACAATAAGCAAAAAGGTTGAAAACAAACTTTTTAAAAAATTAATTCAATTTGAATTCTAAGAGATATACAAAAAAGAAAATAAAATTTCATTTTTCTGCTTCTCAGAAGTCATACTGACTTTAGCTACAACAGTTTTAAGTACATCTTTAAGAGCATCACGCTATCACTGGTATTGCTTTTGCTAGCTTACCTCCTGTTCGTCCGAAGCCAACATGTACAGAAGGACGAAGGCTTCCTTCATTTTTCAACAAATGAGGCAAGTGATAGTATATATTTGGCACTTGAAGAGATCTTCTGTTTGTCAGTTCATTTAACAACTTTAATGTTTCATCTAAAAGCAAACACAAGGGTTATGTTTGCATAAGAGTCATGGGTATATTCACTTCTGGCGCCTCTTTGAAAAGGTTTCATTTTTTCCTAGGTTCGGAGGTAATTCCAACAAGTCAAAGTAAAATATGCATTTGAGTTAGGGAGATTGCAACAAGATCTTTGTATACTCTTCAAACCTCTTTAATGTCTTCTTTATTCAAATGAGTATCTTTCTGGGTCTATGCATCTATCAAGCAAGCCCAGGAAAAGGGACATTTTTAAAAGGAGCAGCTGACAGGTGGCAGGCAGCAAGCACAGCACATCTTTTTCAGAGCATGGTTTCCTTTTAAAATCCAAAGTGCTGCATATCTATATACCACTAAAACTCTCCAGTTTGCTTATAACATCCAATTAGACAAAACAGTGCATTGTAGAGGAATGATTTTTTAATCAAAGTACTTCAAACCCTCTAACTCAAAGAAAGCACAGAAAATCCAGGATCACTTACTCCCATGTAACTGAAATTTCAAAGATCTCCACACACCAGACCATTTTCATTTTCCAAATTATACTTCTAGAATGCTGCTGTGGTCAGCCACTGTTACAGGATTTTGATTTCTGACACTGCCTGACAACTTCCCACAAGCAAAGTCAATAGGGAAACTGGCCGAAAGTTGGAAGTTACTCTCACTTACCCTGTTTTTTTGTCCTCTCTCACTCCCCCTCCTGATCATTCTGTTTGTCTCCTTAGGTAAGTAAATACTGACAAACAATGACCCAATATTTCATAGATTGTCTAGTCTTAATAAAGATTGTCTTAATAAAATTTACATTATGGCTTAGTGCAATGGGTAAAATATAAGATATAGACTAGAGCAGGAGTCGCCAATCTTTTGGACCTCAGGGACCACCAAATTCATAATTTTAAATCCCAGGGACCACTAACGGGTTCTGTGGGTGTGGCCTATTTTGTGGGTGTGGCTTGGTGGTCATGCGACTGGCTGAGCATGGCTTGTATATAAATATTATAAATATTTATATAAATATTGAATTTTTTTTATTAAAAAAAGAGCATCTTTTCCCCAAAATCAGGCAAAGCAGGCAGGCAGATTGAGTCGCTCACAGAAAGGGCGTTGGTACTTACCTGACACGCCCATTCTCTTTGAGCTGGGAAGAGCATCCAGGTGCTTCAGTCTCTGCATGTCTAGGCTGGGCTTAATTTGTTGAACGCTCCTCCTCCTCCACGGTACTCCTCCCCAGCGTTCCCCAGTTTTGGCAAAGACGAGAGAAATAGCCGCCCTCGTCCTCAATGCCCTAACAACTCGTTGGCCTAAACAGGACCCCACCAGATGGAAAAAAGGGGTGGGGCTGGATGCTCTTTACAGCTCAAAGAGAATGGGCGTGTCAGGTAAGTACCAACGCCCTTTCTCCCATGAGCTGTTCAGAGCATCCAGTAGTGGGACATACCAAAGCTTGGCCTGTCCTACGGGAGGGACTCCGTCTGGCCTGGATCTCCTCCTGGTCCCTGTGGACTCACTGCAGAACTCTTCTGCCGAGGCGGCCTCAGCGGATGCAAACACATCTATTTTTTAATGCCTAATGAATGGCGATGGAGAGGCCCAGGTTGCGGCTCGACAAATTTCAGTTATTGGTGCCTGTGTGGCCCACGCTGCCGATGTTGCAGCGCTCCTTGTTGAATGAGCTGTTATGCCCCATGGCACCTGCAGAGATTGAGTCTGATACGTTTTCGCTATTGCGGCCCGTAGCCAACGGCCTATTGTAGAAGGTGAGACCTTGCATCCCTGGGTGTTGGGCTGAAAAGACACAAATAAGGCCTCCGTTTTTCTGAAAGCCACTGTGCGGTTGATATATATTTGCAATGCTCGCCTCACATCAAACCTATGCCGTTGTAGTTCCAACCCTTGGGATGGTCTGGGACAAAAATTAGGAAGTATCAGCTCTTGTGCCCTATCAAAGACCGAGTTAATTTTGGGTATAAATGTAGGATCAGGGTGAAGGACCACCCGGTCAGAATGGAAAACACAAAGATCTTGTCTGACAGACAAAGCTGCAATCTCCGAAATACGACGAGCAGAAGTGATCGCTACAAGGAAAACTACTTTATACGTCAGAAATTGGAGACTTGACGATTTCAAGAGTTCGAAGGGACCCTTAGTGAGTGCGACGAGGACCTTGTTAAGGTCCCAGGTGGGATAACGGTGTACCGCTGGAGGACGTAAATTTGTGGCTCCTCGAAGGAAACCTCGTATGCGTGGATGATGGGAAAGAGAAAGTAGACCTTCACAAGTGAGAACTGATGCCAAGGCCGGCACCTGTCTTTTCAACATATTAGGTGATAATCCCTTGTCAATTCCGTCTTGCAAGAACTCTAGGATTTGAGCCACAGATGGAGAGATGGGATCAATTCAAGACTCGGTACACCATTTGCAGAAACTGGACCATGTGTGGCACTGTAAATGCGAGTTGTTGAGGGGCGTCTGATGGCTTGCATAGTGGCGATAACTCTGTTGGAAAACTTTTCGCTCTTCAGACAACTCCGCTCAACCTCCAGATGGTCAGGTGCAACCATTGAGGGTCCAGATGTTGAAGGGGTTCCTGGGTTAACGAAACCCTGGCTGGCGGAATTCTCCATGGTGTTGATACGGATAGACTGCGGAGGTCTGCAAACCACGGCCGTCTGGGCCAGTAAGGAGCTACTAGAAGTAGTTCCGCCCTCTCGTCTAGCAGTTTCTGGATGACCTTGGGAACCAGTAGAAGTGGCGGGAATGCATACAGAAGTCCCAGGGGCCAATGACAGTGGAGCGAGTTGAAGTTCTCCGCTCCTTGCGAGGGGTACCTGGAAAAAAATCTTGGGAGCTGAGCGTTGAGAGGGGAAGCGAACAGGTCCACCACCGGCTGTCCAAATGTCCAGACCGCTTCTTGAAACAGGGACGGATGGAGGTGCCACTCCGATTGATCGATCATGGCCCTGCTCCGCCAGTCTGCCTGTGTATTCGACAGATCTGAAATGTGCTCTGCTCTGATGGAAAGTAGGTTGCTCTCCGCCCAACGACACAAGCGCTCCGCTTCTCGCGTGAGATGTTTCGACTGTGTGCCCCCTGTTTGTTTATGTGACCTTTGGCTGTTACGTTGTCGGTCAATATTAATATGTGCTGATTGCGTACCTGTGGAAGAAAGCTGCGGAGAGCCAGATGTACTGCTCGAAGCTCCAGCCAGTTTATGCTGCATGCCTGTTCTATGGCGGACCAGCGGCCTTGGGTTGTGAGCAATTGAACATGCGCTCCCCATCCAAAAAGCTGGCATCGGTGGTGATGGTAAGTCTGTGTGGCTCTTTGAAGAGGCAGCCTCTGTTGATGACTGGCGTCTGATGGCATCCCTTTCTGAAGTTTTAGAATTCCCTTTAGCCTGCTTAGGTTTGTGCTGAGATTTGGCTTTGACCTTCAAGGATGAGGTCTGAGAGCTGCTACCGTCTGCCATTTCGATTGAAGTTGGAATTGCAGTATGCTTGTTATACAATGCAATACTGTGAAGGCGGTTGGCATGCCCAGGGGCCTGATCTGAGGACAGACCAGTTGCCCTGATGATGTTTTTATTGCCCCCTTTCCTCTTTTTTTTTTGAATAATACCTATCTATAACGAGTCGTATCTCAGTAATAATATTTTATTGATATTAAAATATTATACTAAAGAGAAAATAATAATAATAATAATAATTATTATTATTATTATTATCACTAATATATATATATATATATGTATATGTATATGTATATGTATATGTATATGTATATGTATATGAATATTAATTAAGTGGCACGATGTTACGTGCTGAGAAACCAAACAGCCAAATTGAGAACGCTTAAAGGCCCAGATTGATAAGGGTAGAGGCCTTCAACAGCTTCCCTGCACAGGCGGACACAGGCCTAGGTGCTCACTGTTGTGCCGCTGGGTTGATTGGGCTGTGAGGGTTAAGCCAACAATTTAACTGTAAGAATAGCCTCGAATGTAGAAAAAACCAAGACGAGGGTATAATGGTCCCCAGTGTTCCTGAAGGGAACCTCTGCTCAGAACAGAGTTACCTCACACAGCATGAAATGGAATACAGGCGCACGGCCACGAGGTCTTGTAAGAAAAGATGGCCTCCGGCCGTTAATCTTTTGGTGCGCTCCCCAGCAGCAAACTCCCGCCGTGTGAAGGAATAGCCTCCGATGGCTTTTCCTATGAGGCTAAATGGCAGGAAAGGGTGGAAGGTACTAAGTATTTGAATCCTCCACCCCAAGTGGTGTTCAGAGGGGGAAGGAAAGTGATACGACTCTGTTGGGAGCAAAGAGCTCACGCCGCTGTTCGGGTAAAGAAACTCTGCGGCAATCGGTCGGAATGGCAGGGGTAGAAAGATCGGTTGTGGGGAGGGGGCGCGGAGCAGCGCCGAAGCCTCCCGCTGCCTTGGGGTACAATTGGTGCTTCCCTGTAATGCAAGCGATCTCTGCAATGCGAGCCAACGTCGAGAGATCGCAATGCGATTAGAAGGCTAAAGGATTCTAAAGACAAGCTGATTAACTTTCAAACCTGCTAGCAAGGAAATAATTTTTCCTGTTTCGGCCAAGGAAGAATCACAAGCATTGCCTATCTCTCACGAGGCTGAGCCAAAACTGGGGAACGCTGGGGAGGAGTACCGTGGAGGAGGAGGAGCGTTCCACAAATTAAGCCCAGCCTAGACATGCAGAGACTGAAGCACCTCCCACTACTGGATGCTTTGAACAGCTCATGGGAGAATCACAGATTCATTCAGAGATCTATCTATCTGCCATCAACTAGTTCAGGCTGTCACATAAAATTTGCTTGCAAGCAAATTCACAAAATTAACTCACAACATACCATGTATGTAAATATTGAATTTTTTATTTTAAAAAAGAGCAACTTTTACCCAAAATCAGGCAAAGCAGGCAGGCAGATTGAGTTGCTCACAGAATCATTCAGTGATCTATCTATCTGCCATTGCCTACCTGAGTCTGTCACATAAAATTTGCTTGCTGTGATTCTGCACTGAATAATAGAACCTTCAGTCGTAAGGAAGGTTTGGCTCTGCTTTTACGCTCTAAATCTTAAGATCTAAAGACTAATCTAAATCTCCCGGCACAGCAGAACAGATGATGGTCAGAAAAAAGAAAAATAGCAATTTAGCAGGCAAGTTTGCCGGGTAAGGTGGTGGGTGGCACAGCCTTGTGTTTCTGCGCAGCCTGGATTAATTGCTTTGAGGGGTGCTCTGGGGGTGACATTTCTCTGCGGCCCACCAATATTTTCTTGGGGCCACCAGTTGGCGACTGCTGGACTAGAGCACCAAATAATAAAAACCTTCTAATTAGATAGTCCAATGGTGCAAAAGAAATAGAAGCAACCTCTCATACATCACATTATTGAACTACTTTAAGAATGGAAGCAACATTTCTATTTAAGGTGGCCAGATGTTTGGAATTCATCTGTCAAAGCAGTCAGGTTTTTGAAAGTTTGCCCTTGTTCCACCTCCACTCTTTGGGGGATTCTATTGTTTTTCTTCTCTGCTTCTATCCTCTCTCTTGGAGCCTGGGCTGCAAAACCAAAACAACCAAACAAGCCAACCACTGGATAGTTGCAAAGCTTAGAGTCTTTTATATCACTTTGCTATCATAGGGTGGACTTTGGGTTTCTGGAGGTCATACCTCCCAAAATTTTCTGGTTGGAAAGGGAAAAACAAATGGATGAGACCTAAGCCTATGAGCAATACTACCTTCTTTAAATACAACCAATGAACCTAAGAAGTTTACTAGCAGAATAACTGCTGTTGCTCTGATCAAGTAAATAAGTCACAGATCTCCCTTGTTTATGATGCAGAAAGAAGCAGAGAGCATAGTAAAAAGCAGGTGTGCAGGTGTGCATGAATGGGAGAAGAGGCTGAATAGGTTTAGTGAATATATGCCTAACATTAATATTTGCTAAATTTCATTGCAGAACCAACAACTCCCAAAAGAAGTTATTCATATCCATGTAAAGTAAAATTAATCCTCAAATTATACCGCAACTTGAGAACTCCTGGAACAGAGAGATAAAGCAAAGGCAATAGTAATAAAGTTGGGTAATAAATAAAACTAGTATTTTCTGTTCAATTGCATATGAAAGCCAGAAATAATAATGTAAGAAGAAGGATTCTGTATTCTATAACTTATGGAAAGCAGGAGAGACCCAGTGAGAATAGCAAGCCCAGTAATCTTCAAATCCATCCATCTGTACCTGAAACACGGCTCAATGCATCCTTACTTCCATTGGTTTCTGCCACTGCCTGTCTGAACTGCTCCAAGATGGTATTTAATTCAGAAGAACGTTGCAGGGTTCGGTGCTCAGCGATGCGAAGGCGCTCCTTCAAAGCATGAAACTCTCTTTGATAAGCAATCAGCTTTTCTAGGAATAAAAAAAGTTCAGGTTACTTTCTATCAAGAATAAAATAACCCTTACCAACACAAATCAAAGTTCCACTTTGGCTGTTTCTGCACAACTGACTGCCATTCATTGTTTACAGAATGAATTGTCATAATGTTTGTTCTACAGAAGGTTTTTTTTAAAAAAACGAATTCCATTAATTGAAGGAAATGTCACAAGGTTCTAAAGCTTAATATAAAATTTTTAAATAATTTTGATGCTTGAGTCTAAATCTTATCAATAAAAGACCTACAATTATATTTTACAAAAATAAATGTTATCAATTATTACCTTGCTTAAAATATTGAATATATTGGAAAGTCACCCATCTTTTTATTTAATAGATGGCATAATTTTTCATGTAATATATTTTGGGAAATTACTATTAAGACAATAATACTACAAGCATAGACAGCTTAGTAGTTGTGCTTATATTAATATTTATTCAAACATTTATTATTCAATCTATTTTCAATTCATCAGTTTAGCTGTTGTTATTTTTCCTATGCAGAGATTATTTAGAGTTCAAAATCTCCTAAACATTTCTCAGTGTGTGGCCATGATTACCATCTTGTCCAATACTGGATAAGGCTTCCAGAATTCCTCCAAATGAACAATGGAGGAGATCAATATAAAAATTGCCACAACCCAATCTAGGTGTCATTAGAGGTAGTAATTGACCTACGACTACAATAGACCCCCAAAATGCTATTGTTTAGTGAGACATTTGTTAAGTGAGTTTTGGCCTATTTTCCTGTTGTCAACAGTTGGTAAACAAATCGATGCAGTTGATCAGTTAGTAACTGATTATTAAGTGAATCTGTTTCCCCATTGATTTGGTTTGTGAAAAAGTCACAAAAGGTGGCCCCATGCCTTTGGGACACAACAAAGGTCATAAGTGTCAGGATTCCAGCACTTAACCCCATTTAAATCATGAATTTCGAGCCAAACTTCCAAAACTTCAAAAAGATTTATTGGGAGTTAAAAGGTCTGGCATTGCCTGGGTATATCGTAATTCATATTCTCCAATGAGACACATCCATAGCCAAGAGTCATCAACCATGCTCTCCAGTTAGAATTTTGCACAGCAGAAACTTTGGTGACCTTGTTATTATCTTTGAAAACATTTATGGAATGCAGTTTCGGTTTTGCAAGCTGCTGCACTGATCCCCCCTCCCTTTCTGTTGGCAATTCTAAAAAGACCATATAAACATTTTATGAGTTGACAATAAGTATGAACTAGCTGCCAAGCATCTGAATTCTGATCGCATGATCATGGGATTCAAAGGTCATAACTATGAAAAATGCTCATGTCACTTTTTTCAGTGCTGTTGTAACTTTGAACGGTCACTAAATGAACTGTTGTGAACTGTAAACACTTTGTTTAATAGTGCTGAAGTGCTCAGCAAGGAGAAACCAGAGTTAAACATCCATGGAACAGGACAAAGCAATAATTACTGCTGGTCAGGAACTTTATAGTTCTATTATTAACAACCATTCTTTTCTCTTCCACTTCAAACAAGTTGGAAGTTAAGTGACTCAACAGAAGAGCTTCGGGGAGGCTCTGAAATAATGAGAACACAAGGAGTGAAGCACCAATTTTGGAGGCTCTAACTAACATAAATAATACTTCCCTTTTCAACACAAATCATTTTAATGGACACAAAGAAGACTCACACCTACTAAAACAACCCATAGGTAATTAAAATATAATACTTTAATGGAAAGGAACAGGATATTGATTTGCAAATAGATAACATCCAGCTCTTAAACAATTGCCTTTGATCTTTTAAAAAGAAAAAAGACAAAAAGGAAGGACAGCTTGTTTAAAAACATCCAGGCAGAAAAACCAAATGTTTAATCTTCAGTCATCCTCTGCATGAATCTCTTGAATTCCACATAATTAGTACAATTATATAGTTCAGTTAGAGTATTTTACTTTGAATTCTGCATGTTTATTACTTCCTCTTTTTTCATTGAAAACTCTGTTTCACCATAAGTTGCTTTTAATAGAGCAAGGTTTAATTTACTTGTTTTTCATGACTGGCACAAAGTTTATCATATATGGGATTTACGGTAAATAGAATGATCCAAAGCATCTTATTTTCCTAGAGCTGAACCAAACTGGATTTCATTCAACTCTTTTTGAACACTGAAGTCTATTCATATAACTGAATTCCTATTTCTCTGGCCTAAAAACTATCACACTTTCACTCCAATATCATGAAGGTCGAAGAGGAGAATCACATACGCTTGCTTGACAGAAAAGCATGATATACTGTACATGTAACGCATGTAAATTAATTACTTCAATTAAGAGCATGCAACAAAATACATAAATGTGAGACAGTTCTTATGAAAAAAAAATATATGGAATAAAGCTAATTGTATTCAATAAATCCCAGACAGTTTTTGCAGAATCCCTAGTTTGTATGACATAAATTAGAACTGCATAAAAAGTTGTTCATCTACTATTGTATCAGTAAGTTTTCATTGTGCATATTTCTCTGTTCATATATTAAATCCACACAAAAAGAATACCAGACATTGCTATTCTGGGAATTGGAAGACTCCTTTGTGAAGACAGCACCAATATTGGGTTGCTGTCTACTATGCACAACAATGTTACAATTATTTTTGTTTTTAAAATTGTCCTGCTTTTGTCATTAGGAACACTAGGAACTCTATATATAGTTTATAATTCTATATCAAGGTGATTGACTGCTAACTGAAACTCTAGAAATTCTAAGCAATTATACATCTTCTTTCCTCTAAACATAAATAAAAGCCACCTATTGAATAACATTTTGATTCTAACTATGGACAATACAGGTAATCCTTGGTTAATAACCAGTCACTTAACCAGTTGCTTTACAGTGGACCTCAACTAAGTTACTTACAACCTATCCTTGAACGTATGACTGCTGACCCCACAGTCACGTGATTGCATTTCAGGCATAGAAATATTCATAAAATTAAGTCAGGTCATAATGACTGTAATAACTTCGTGATTGTTGAATGAGGACTATCACTTGCTTAATAGATGATATAGATAGACCAAATACCTTGGGATTTTTTTTTTCTATGAACATTCTGTATTTTGCTTCTTTTACACATACTGTATGTATATTTGGAGGAACATTAAAACAAATAGAATATTTGAGAAAAGCAGTAGATAACAGTGAAGAGATTGGCCTGGTCAAAAACCTTTGAATTGCTTTAGGACTTCAGGAACTATAAGAACAGTTATTATGCTTGTGCATTGTCTGTACAGGAATTGCTTTGAAGGTAATTGCTTCTGACAACCTCAACCATTAACTACCAAATTAACTGCTCACTTGCATATTTTTATTATACATGCAAAATATTATACTATCTAAATACGGTAGGTTTTCATTGTGAAACGACTCCAGTCTGCTTTCACAGACTGTCAGCTGCATGCCAGGCAGACAGCAGACGTTTGCAATCAACATGAAAATTGAGCATGCAGCAAAAAATAGACTCCCTCTAACTCCTCCCCTTTCTTTAGAGAGAGAAATGATTTTTGGTCCTTTTAAAAGAAGTTAGCTGAGGTTACCTTCCGGTACTGAGTCTACTTAAAAGTCAGAAGTAACAACTGCTTTCTTAAACCTCTGATTTAAGATTACAATGTGCAAAAATCTGGAAAATCCAGGGAAACAGAACAGAAACATTGGTGGCAGTGATGATTTACTTAGCAATATTGTACTGTCCCAGTCAGTCTATGGGAATTGGATAGTCACTTAGGAATTGTGAGCTGTCCCCTTAAGGGAATGCATCATGGTAAATGTAGTTAAAGGTATCCTGGGAAATGTAGTCCATGTCACATGACCACATCTGTAATCCTGATTGGTCACTGGATTGACTCTTGGTGGGCTGGGGGAGGTTTCCCTCATTCTTTGTCTGAACTCTCTAACTCATGGCACCTTCTTTCTATTGCTACGAGATGGGTTAAGAGATAACCATCTTTACTACAAGGCAGATATACAAAGGATTGGTCATAAAAGAAGAACTTTGTCACAAACATGAGTTATGAGGATACCTGATGAACCAATAAATGTTCTTTGTTATGGACGTCTTGTTGAGTTATCTCTCTGCATCTGTACAGTTTATGAATCTACCCCTGTACAAGATACAGAAAAGTAAAAGATGCATCCTAAGCCATCAGAATAAATTTGTTAATTTTGGATTTGTGATAAAGCAACATAATATTGAAGCCAGGAGTGAATATGCAATGTTAATCTAAACCTGCATTCCCATCATCTCTCTTTGTGAGCATCGGAACTCTTTACATGCTGTTTACATGGTGGGAGGGGCTGGAGTTCCCCACATCCATCCCACCCCCTCTTCTCTGCTCAATTTCTCTTCCTGCTATTTCAAAGACTCATTTTAAATAATGAGAGAAAGCAAACTTCCCATCTTTCAAGGGACAGACAAGCAGCTTCCTTTATTTCATCTCTCCCTGAGCTAACTCTACAAAAACTAATTTACCAAACTAGCTTGTGCCCTGGAGTAAAGACAAAGGATGTGTTTTCCTCTATCTTAGCCAGCTTTGCCACGAGGCCTCCTGCCATTTACAATGCAGGCTATAAAACCTTCTCTGGCCGGTTTTATTGGGGCTATAAATCACAGTTCCAGCAAGTAAGCTATGTGAACAAAAGTAAGCAAGTAAGCTATGTGAACCTTTCCCTCACAAACCATACAGTTTATCCATCTTATTTCTATGCTAGGAAAATTTTAAGCATAACAAGGACTGCAAATAACCCTTTGAAGTGTTGTACTTGTTTGATTAATTTATCTTCCTTTGAGTAGGATTAAATACCTTTGAGACCCAACCACCCCTCTCCTAACGGGCAACACCACATCTTGGTAAATCAGCCTACAGCCCCATCTGGTGGTCAAGAAGAAATTTCCCAAACTTTGATTATTATTTTTTACAGTTTCTCAAATATTGACCAGAGTGT